ATCCCTAAAATTAACAAAAAAACCAAAAAAAAAAAAAAAAAAAAAAGTGAAGGAAGGGTAAGGTGCTGAGAGAGTTCCCACAGCTTGTAAAGGTCACATCAAGGAGTTTGAACTTGACGCTCTAGAGATGCTCAGGAAGCCACCAAAAACTTTTCATCTGTAAAATGTGTAGCCGTGTTTGTGTTTTAGATCACTCACAGCAGAGCCACAGGAAAGGGTAAAGCTGGAGACCAATTGAGTTGCATTAGTACAGGTGAAAAGTGGACACTTTCACTTGTGACAGCAAGAGGTAGAATTAATTCACAGAGGATTTTACAGCCAGGCCCAGTGGTATGCGCCTGTAATACCAGCTACTCAGGGAGTTGAGGGAGGAGGATCACTTAAGCCCAAAAGTTGAAGAAAAAAGATTTCAGGGAGAACTAATAGGGCTTTATAATTGGATGTGAAGCCTGGTGGCATCCAGATGCATACTGCATATGGAGCTTGGACCACTGTAGACGGTAGCAGTGGGAAGGGAATCATGGATAATAAGCCAGAAGACGTGTTAAAGTGAATGTAGAATCCAGCCATTTTCTACCCACTCGATTTTGGATTGGTTAGTGTGAGAGTCCAAGTCTCACTTTACCTATCTATGAAATGGGATTAATAATGCCTACCACACAGTGATACAAATTATTCTATAAAACTGCATGTGAAGTACTTTGCAATAAACCTAATATGGAAGCTGGGTGTGGTGCAACGCACTGCACTTGAGAAGCTGAGGCAAGAGGATCACTGTGAGTTCAAGGCCAGCCTGAACTACGGAGCAAGACCCTGTCTCAAAGAAATCTAAAACAAATCAAGCCTCATATGTAAAAGATCTTTGTTCCTGGGACCTGAATGCTTACCACAGGAGACCACGATACCTGCTATTTCCATGAATTTTGGGACTAATATTGGAGTATGTAAACCTGTAAGAAAGATCTTTTCACTAACATTGGAGGAACTGGAACAGATATATTCCTAGTTGCTTTGTCCAGTTGTGGCCCTCTCCCTGTCTCCCTCTGGATCAGGAGCTACATTTTTACATTCCCTTCAACTGGTACAATTGCAATGCAATGATTCCCAAGGCAATAGAGTAACTGTCTCTTTTGCCAGCTCTATTTTTTTCATTTCTTTCTTCTTTTTTTTTTTCCTTGACAACAGAAAGCTTCCCCCTCCCCTCTACAGCAAAGAAGCGACATCACTCTGTCAATGTTAAATTCTGGCAAAAATAGAGCCGCTAAAATAGAAAGAGGAGAAATATTTTGGCAACAGCCAGCAGTAAGAAGTTGCACAGCATTAACTGGGTTGTTTATAATTTCAGGAATACAGGATACTCTGTATTATTGGCAACAATTGACTCTGAGGTTAATGCTTTTTTCTAAAATAATTCTCTTTTTGAGGCACTTGGCAGATTCATTGCCCCTGTTTTTTAAATCTCCCCCTGTGCAGTTCCACTCCTTAAAGAGGCAGAATCTATTAATCATCTCTCGCCTTTGGACTTGGCCATGGGACTAGCTTTGGCCTGAGGTGGTTCGTGATGTAAATAGAAGCTCTGAAAAGCCCTCATGTGTCCACTGGTTCTTTCAGACCCCTGACATTACCCTGAAAATGTGCAAGGCCAGCCTTCCCCACGGAGGACAGCCACGCTACGCAGGCCAAGGCCATCTGGGCAAGGCCACTCCCATGAGCCAGCTCCAGACCCAGTTGACCCCGAGGCTCGTCAATAAAAATACTGCCGGGGCTACCAGGTCTTTTGGTTGTTTTGTTCCACAGTAGAAACTAATTAATATGGTACATTTGCCTAAAATATGGGTGCCTGTGACTCCATTAGCGGAAGTGGTGAACAAATTCCCATACTTCAAGTTCTGTTCGAAGTAAGCAAGAGCTTGGAGAGTCAGTGTGAAATCTCCATGCCAGGCAAGCTGCCCTTTTATATTTCCCTACGTACGACCTGCACACCCTTGACTCTTTCTTTGTGCAGTTAATGTCTTCTTACTGGAATGAGTGGCTTTTCTTCTCCTCCTTGCTTATTTAAATCATGTCTGATCTCCAAAGACCTACTTAAAATCCTCCTGCTCTGAATGATCTTGTGTGATTGCCCGCTGCCTCTCCAACCTACCAACTCTTGGGGGATTTTCTGTCTGAACCATGAATTGGATGCTGACTCATGCTCCCTTATATGACCGCTGTTTCTTATCGACAGTCATTTACTAAACTAAAATCCAAGTTTCTGGAGGCCAGGGCTCATCCTATGTTTCTTTTACCCTCCTCGCTTCTTGCACAGAACTTTGAAAAGTGCAGGGTCTTTCGCTAAAGACTTTAACATTTGGAGGTTAACTGGCATTTGGGGCCTGTTAGATGTCCTTACTAATTAAAAAAAATAAACCCAGAGGGAGGGATGAGTTGGTGGGTGGGTGCACAGAGAGACAAATGAAGGAAGGAGGCGTGCATGAGTGAAAGAGGCGTCCAGGTTGTAGATGGTGGCTCTTCTGTGCTATACTTCCCCCTAGAAAACTACATTCTGCCTTTACCCTGAGGTTTTCCTCACCTCTCCCATCCTCTCCAAATTAGACAGGCTCTCTCCCTCCTCCAATGTCAGTGTGTCTTTCCTCACCACCTCCTAGGGGACCTCATCTTATTTCCTGTGTGACAACCAGGCCTGCTCTCCCTTCCTGTGCACCGCCCCCAGGCCACACCTTCACTCGCTGAGCTCAGAGGCTACACTTTAACTACGTATGGATCAGTAGTACTTGGTAGCTTATCATATTATTTCATAATTATTTCATATCTCTTCACTGGTCTTTCTGGTGTTGTTTTTGTTTGTTTGCAATTCTGGGAATTGAGCCCAAGGCCTTCATACAGAGCTCCATCCCCAGCCCTTTTTTTTAAATCTTTATTTTTTTTTAGACAGAGTCCTATTAAGTTCCACAGGCTGGGCTCCTCCTGCCTCAGCCTCTCAGAGTTCTGGGATAACAGGTATGCACTGCCATGCCTAGGTTTCTCTTCTATGTTTTAGATGTCCTAATTCAGGCCCTCACAGTGCTCATACAACTACGAAATTTTGTCCCTCACCTTCGTGCTTATTGCCTCTTCACCCTGCCTTGCTTTTCAACCAGTTAGCAATACACAAGTATGGAATTCAAGTTTAAAATACAGGCTATACTCTTTCAAAGCAAAACAAAAAAGAAACAAACAAGTAAACAAACAAATCAACCTCTGTATTCCCTCTTTTTCACGATAAAAGGCTCTTAGGCCAGGCACACATAGCCCATTATGGTCAGTCCCAACAAACCTACAGACCTGTTTTCTGTCATGTCAGCCTTAACTTTCACTTCCAGTAGGAGGGAACAGCCTGTGCACTGCTTATCCCTGCCAAACTGTTTCTCCCCAACCATCATTGCCCCTTTTGCTTTCTTGTTGTTGCCTCCTTTGGCCCAGTCCCATCCATCCTGATCGTCTATCCTGCCTACCACCTTCCCTCACCCCAGGTAGGTGCCCTATTGCATGGTGATTATCTGATTCAAGTGAGAGCTTCCTGAGAATAAAGGCAAGGTTGTGAACATCTTTGTATGTACAAATCTTACCACAGCTCTCAGAACATATGAAGACCAAACAGTTGCTGACTGGCTAGCTGGCTAGAGCAGTGATCTGCCTGTAACTGTGGTCTAAGATCAATTTAGTATTGACGCATCTACACCCAGGCTTAGAGACTAAAGCTAATGTCCTCTGTAAGTCCACCCTTCACATAATCTTGCCTTCAAGGATTAGAGTAGGATTCAATCGTCCTGAGTTCAATGCCACTGGTTATACATAGGTGTTCCTCTGCCATCCTTGGTGCCCAGGCCAATACTGGGCAGACAAAGACTTAATTAAATGTCCTGTGATGGTGATGACAGTAGCTAATATTCACTGAGACTTACTATGTACTGGATATTGTTCTAAGTGCTTCAAATTAATTAGCTTATTCAGTTTTCATGGCAATCTTATAGGGACATACTATGAGTATCCTCATTTTAGAGAGGAGATTAGAAAAGGTTAATTAACTTTTCTAAGATCACATAGCTACTAAGAATAGAAACTGCATGCAAACCAGACAGGCTGATTCTACAGCCTGTCATCTTCACACCTCATGCGACCCCAAGTTCATATTTTCCAGGAGCCTTTGCTTGTTTCTTCTTCTCTCAAGACAGGAGGAGAAAGACAGGGGCCAAAAAGAGAACATTTCCCATTGCCTTTTTACTTACTTAGTTTATTCTCCCATTATTGCCAAGCAATACATATTTAGCCAGGATGAGTCCCATCTTATTTTTATCTGTGTATGTTTACTTAACCATAAAGGTAACTAAGTTTTTTTCACAGCTCAATTTGAGGATTAGCAGAGAACAATATAATGTAACCAGCCTTGCTTTTTGCATGTCATCTGTGTTTCTCAGTGGGCTGAAAACCACACTGTTTCTTCCTCTTTACCCTTGCAGTGAGAGCACATCTGTCACTCAGTTTCTGAACAACTTCGGTGACGCTTCCGGGAAAGGTCCGTACTGGTCCAAATGGCACATGCCCTATTTGTGGCATCTTTCTCTCTCCTTCTGAGTAAGTTTCATACTTCTGTGTGTCTTTATCGTCATAGGAGCTAGTCAGTGCGAGGCTGCTGGGCGACTGAGCAGCACGATTTGGTCTTTCCAGAAACAATGTGCCACATACTTCTGTGGTTGGCAATAATTTTTGATTTATTGATGGCAGTTCTTGGCTTTCTTGGGCAACCTTGAGTTCCTGGGAAGTGTAGTGCTTGGCTGAGTCCCAGGTACCCGATTCCCCTGTGTTTTATATTTGTCTGCATTGCCAAATCTTTCACTTTTGCATGGCCCTGCCTTTACCTCTTCTTCTTAGGCCATCTGTCCGGAGAGTATGTGAGATGCTCTGCTTCCCAGACTGAGAGGAGACCTTGAGGTTTGCCTGAGAATAGTGTTTGACTGGGCACATATGCCTGGGGATGTGGCTGGGTAGAAGAAAAGGTTAGGAGAGCACTTAGCTAGAAGAAGTTTCTGTACTCTGCCTGTGAGTAATGTGGGCACTAACTACTGAGAGTCCAAGAAAGGAGCAGGATGATCACTTGCTTGACTTACCCGATGGAGGGACATTTATAACATGCTGGAACAAGGCGCTGGAAGTGGAAATTTGGAGGTAGAGGGAAGAATCAGAGGAATTAGGCGGGGAATGAAATAGTTCCAGACTGGACAGAATAGCTACCTGGTTCTTTTTTTTGCATTATAATTCCCCTTAGCATCTGGTGATGCTGTATGGACCCCTCTCAAATTTGTGTTTTGTTTCGTTTTTGGTGGTGCTGGGAGCACAACTTCAGTTCCCATGCTGTGCATGCTTAGGCAAGTACTCTACCACATCTACCCTCAGAATCATTTTTATTCCTTTCTTTTTTTTTTTTTTTTTGTACAAGGGATTGAACTCGGGTCCTTGTGCTTGCAAGGTGGCCAGCAGCACCACTGAGCTAAATCCCCAGCCCAGAATCATTTTTAAATGCATAGGGTTGTAGAGGAGATTAGTCATGCTGAAGTAGCTATGAAAAATTTTAATAAGTTATGATGTAGTGATTTATTTGATTCTTTATGTATTATATAACAAGATCCAGTGGTGGATTTTTTAGCCACCAAACATCAATGAAGTGATGAGTATGAATAATATTTTAACACAGCTGCAACAATGGCTATGTGATGTGAAAATATGTGATTCACTGTCTAATTCCCAGCTGAAGAAAATACTAAATTTCCAGCAGAGATTAAGGAAAATAAAGCTGCATAGGTTTCTTTTTTTAAAAAAAAACAGGATCTCACTATGTAGTGAGACTGACCTGGAACTCACTATGTAGCTCAGGCTGGTCTCAAACTCACAGCAATCCTCCTACCTCAGCCTCCCAAGTGCTGGGATTACAGGTGTGTGCCACCACACCCAGCCAAAGCTGCATAGGTTTCTGTTCACCACAGTTTATGGGCCCTTTAATTCTATTTGTGGATTCAGATTAAGAACGTTGGGTAGAATTAGTGCAGGGACCTGGGTGGCTGCGATGATGGGGGAACTGAATGCAGCTATAATCAGAGCATCCAGGGCTGTGGCTGAAACATTAAAAGCATAGCACTCAGTACAAAGGGGCTGCTGAATAAACACTGATGAAGTTGACCTGGGATCTTTAACTCAAGGGACATGTTGGTAAGGATGAGGTCTGGGCCTTGTGGGGAGAGAAACAGCCTGTAGGGAACTTCACTAGGATCCCTTGCTGAGTAATGAGACCTGCCAGATGGGCATGGCCAGTGTTGGTGGGCAGGCAGGCAGGTGTCCTGTGAGGCGCTCCAGGGGCTGGTGTATTTTGCTTTTTCCTGTTCAGTTGTCCAACTAGGAGTCTCTGCTTTGTGTATTTGAAAAGTGCATGTGCCTTATGGATAAGGGGGAACTGCATTTACATTGTGCAATAATTCAGAGAATCACAAATGCTCTCTCTGGCTTTTTTGTGGTTGGTTCATTTTTGTTTCTTTGTTTGTTTGTTACTTTGGTAAGCAATGCAGAAGGTCCTGGGGGAAGAAAGTAGCAACCAAAACTTAATAGGAAAAACTGGAAGCTTTTCCTTAACACTCTTCAACAATTACCTAAGTTATATATTTATTTCTTCTAGCTCTGACTCATTCCAAGCACTAATTTTGTATAGAGCCAAAGTTTTTATGTGAAGAATAGATAAATCAGGAAGTAACTTAAAAAAGTTTTGGAAGCCTGCTACTTGTCATTACAAATGTAGGAAAAACAAAGGAAATGAATTAAATGATGGTAAATGTATCTATTACATTGTTTAGCAAATATATACTTTGTTGTCGTTGTTATTGCTGGAGTTTACACTCCCAGGACCTAGCTCATGCACTCTACCACTGAGGTAACCTTTAATTAACCCTTCTAATCTATGTATTTTTTTCCAGTAGGTATAAAGACTGAATAAGAGGTCAGAATATGGTACTAGATGAAGTTAATGGGTAAATGAGCATTAGGATTAGCTGTTGTCTACTGGAATGTTATTGGAAACCACTGCAATAGGCTCCAGTCTCCTGCTCAGTGTACCACACAAGCCTGAGAAAAAGACTCAAAGACAGAACTAAGACAAAATAGAAAGTGGAGTACCAGGATGTCTAATGCTGCTTTAGCAAAAAGTGCTGGCCTGTCCAAGCCACTTATTTTTATTGGTAATCAGTTGGGGTAAAGGCAGGCTACATGCAATGGCAGGACTACGTGAGAAAATGTGTAGTAGTGCAGTTTCTATGGAAACTAATGTAAGCAAGGCTTGTAAAGGAAAAGACAAAGCATTCTTAGGAACAGAATAGAAAAAATATATGGTTGTAATTAGAACACTGACCTTCTAGCAAGAAGGTTTTGGTGTAGGCACAGAATTGTGGTGTGAGTTACTCTGAACTCGACACATAGGCTTCGGCTGGACTTGCTTCTAAAAACAAGTCAGTTCTGCAGTTAACTCTTCACAGCCTGCTCTGGGCATAATCAATATTACACTCTCCCTAAATTGTCTTTGCCTGCTCGATTTTCACCTTGAGTACCTACTCTATGAATAAAGGCCAGTTAACATAGAGGGCCCTGGGCAGGTATTTTTCTTACTGACATTGTACTCATGTGAAAAACAAAGACCAAAAAAGAGTTCACTTACTTATGGATGGAAGCTATCTCAGCTACAGGCTTATAGGGTATAAAGAAAGAGACATTGCTTGGTATGTTGGCTATTCTCTAGGTAGGTTTTGTATGAAAAACAACTATTTGAAATTACTGGGTTTTTTTTCATATCAAAAATGGTTGAATGTCAGCCATTTAAAAGGTCCTACCTAAGAATTTTCATTCAGATAATACTGAAACTGTAATTTTGACAATTCCATCTGGTAAAAATTTTTTTTTTCAGTATTGTGGACTGAATCTGGGGCCTTTACACGGAGCTACATCCCCAGCTCCCCTTTTGATTTTTGATTTTGAGACAAAGTCTCACTTCATCAAGTTACTAGGTTGCATGGGTTGGGCTCCGATATTTGGTCCTTCCCGCATCCAGCTCCTGGTGTTTTGTTTTGCTTAAGAGTGCAAATACCCCCGGGAATATTAATTGTTTCAGGAGCAAGGCTCCTATGCTAGTATGGCAGTACTAAGTTGTGTACTGATCAGACAAGAATAAGAGCTACTGTGCAAAAAGGTCCAAATCCTTCGTCCATTAACAATGAAACAATGAGTCAGTCCTCTGAGGTATTTTGCTCTTCAGGAGGAAAGAAGACATCCCTGAAACAACCCACAGAGAGAATATTTATAAGATGTTTCACTTTATGACTCCAGTGCAGAGGCACTTGAATTGATCTCTGTTATTTCTGTTCACCTCAAAAATACCTATGACACCTTCACAATAGTTCTCTCACTTTCCTGAGAAGGTAGCATATTTCAGCGTGTTCCGATTGCAGTAACAAAAATATCATAAGCTAAGTGGCTCAGAAGCAGCAGGAATGTGTCTCTCACTGTTCTGGAGGCTTGGAAGTACAAGACTGAAACATTCACAGACTTGGTGTCTGGTGAGGGGCCCTTCCTCATAGACGGAACTTCCTAGAGAAGTCCTCACTTGGTGAAAGGGACAAGCTAGCTCTCAAAGTCTCCTGTAAGGATGCCAATCCCATTTACAAGGTCAGAGGCCCCCTGACCTAATCACTTCTCAAAGACCCACTTCTTAATACCATCTACCTGGAGTTTAAGTTCCAACGTATGGGTTTTGGGGGAACACAAGCCCTCAGACCATGTACTGACCATCTGCCTCTAACGGGCCTTCTCTGCTTCTCATCTTCTCTGGCTTCACCCACCTCTCTCTCCCTCCCCACTGCTCCCTCTGCCTAGAAACATGCGAGGGATCTCACCGCATCCCCTCCATCACCACTCTCACCACCCAGGTACGCTGTCTAGCTGCCATCCTACTCTTCTCTTTCCCTGCTCTTTGAACATTTTTGAAGTAGTGGATCCTTCCCGCTGTCTCTTCTTACCCTTGAAAGCTTCTTGTTCTGTTCTGTCGACATCTCTTTTACAGAGCATCCAACTACAGCGCTCTCATTGGCCTGTGGAGTCCCCTGCCCTCCAGCAGCCTTTGGCAGTGCTGAAAGCCCTTTCCCCTGGAATATTCTTTTTTTTTTCTCTTCTCTTTCCCTGCTCTTTGAACATTTTTGAAGTAGTGGATCCTTCCCGCTGTCTCTTCTTACCCTTGAAAGCTTCTTGTTCTGTTCTGTCGACATCTCTTTTACAGAGCATCCAACTACAGCGCTCTCATTGGCCTGTGGAGTCCCCTGCCCTCCAGCAGCCTTTGGCAGTGCTGAAAGCCCTTTCCCCTGGAATATTCTTTTTTTTTTTTTTTGAGACAGGGTCTCACTATGTAGTTGACACTGACCTTGAACTCACTATGTAGCCCAGGCTGGTCTCAAACTCACAGTGATCCTCCTGCCTCAGCCTCCCAAGTGCTGGAGTTACAGGCATGCACCACCACGCCCGGCTCCCCTCCACCTCCCTAACTATTCCTTCTCTAGGTTTTAGTCTTCATCCCATCTAAATAGAGGTACTCTCTCTAGTAATCTTCCTTTAACCTCTTCCCTTTATTCTTTAACATTTCCAAATACTTACCGGTAACTAACCAAATCCACAGCTAGAGCTCAAAATTCTCCTTGGGTACAAACAGGCATTTTCAGGAAGCAGTGAGAAATGATGGACACAGCCATGGGTTTGGAATGTGCAAGTCTAGGTTCAAATCTGACTCAACCACTTATGAGATTTGACATTACTAAATATGGGAATATCACAGCTTTGGAAAATATTAGATTACAAATATTTCCAAAGGATTGAACAAACTTTAAAGTAAAATGCACACACTTAAATACAATTTCCAAAAGTTTGCTGGCTGTCCATGCTTATGCCTTGGTACTCAAATTTTGTATTTTCAAAATTAAATACATCGCCTCCTTCCTCACCCTTGAACGTACAACAACAGCAATTCTTCCTGTTATTCTGATTTCTGTGGAGTACAATTATCTCCCAATCTTACAAAACCTGGGTGTCCTTGATCTCTTCCTAACTGCTATTGCTCTGTTCACCCCTACGACTCCCAAGCCTCCAAAACACCAAAACCCTCTAGATTTCAGCTCTTAGAGCCCCTTTGTTCCCCTCCCTACACCTTCCTCACCTTTGTCACAGGCTATTGTAGTTACTTGATGTCGGCTTCTGACTTCCATCATCCCCCACAAAGCATCAGGCTAGTTTTCCTAACACCTTTCATGCATTTTCAGTGGATTGCTATTGCCTAACGAGTAAAGTCCGAACTTTTAAACATCAAACTCAAGTCCTTCATGAACCAAAATGCCTAGCCAGTCTTATGCCTTCCTTTTAATCATCATGCAGTATTTCCCACATCTGGTTTACTCCCTATTTTCTGAATGAGTCTTTTGATTCCTCCTCAATCTTGTCACTAAGTCTTCCTTACCTGAAAAAAAAAACCGTCAATCTTTCCAGTTTTCCTAAGTCCACTGCCACTGCCATCTCTCAAACAGTAATTTTTGCTTTTATCAAATCCCTCAAAGCATTTTGTATCTTTCTCATAGAGAGATGACTGCCCCCTACTTGACTAGATTATAAAATCTGGAAGAAGGGCCTATTCCAAACTCATCTTCTTATCTCAGGCTCTGCAACATCTGAAATACAATTAAGTGGTTGAATAAATATTTGAGTTGGTGCAAATAAACAGTAGAAAGTGAAGTGCTAATTTCCCCAATAAAATGCTCTCAAATGTGGTACTCTTCTCACTGAAATGTGATAGAAAATGTTGAAGAAATGTTGCCTCACCACTGCAAATAACATTTATAGAAAGAAATGTGCCCCGATATAAACAGGTTAGTGGTGCCTCAAAAACCATATTTTAAAAAAGTTACTGTGAAATGTAACATACAAGAAAAGGCCAATAAAATGTAAATATGCAGTTTACACGTAAGAAAAAACTAAAACCTGAGCAGTCGCTACCAAGGTGAAGAAACAGAACATTCTAGGACCCTAGAAGTACACAATCATTCCCACCGCAGTCGAATGTGAGGCCCCAGCAGAGTATGACACAATCACTTTCCTGACTGATGACAACTTCCTGGCTTTTTAATGCATCACTAAGCAACATAATGTGTTTTTACTTTAGAAATAATAGAATTATTTCTGCAAATCCTCAAAAGGATTCAAAAGTGTCTTGAGCTGTGTGTAGTGGCTCACACTTGCAATCTCAGCACTCAGGAGGCTGAGGCAGGGAGATTGCTGTGAGCTCGAGGCTGGCCTGGCTTACATAGTGAGTTTGAGGCTAGCCTGGAATACATAGCAAAACCCTGTCTTAAAAAAAAAACCCTAAATAAATAAACATCTTGTGTCTTTGATTGAACATAGTCATCCATGTTGTTACAAACAGTTGTAATTCATTAATTTTCAATTCTGTGTCATATTCTGCTTTATGACTGTGCCATTCTCCAGGATCCATTGTGTTATGGATGGACATACGGATTGTCTCCTGTTTGGGGTTATAATAAACAGCATGGTTATAAATGTAGCCAAGGGCACAGTGCTCACAGTTCTCTAAGGTGGCAGTGCTGAAAATGTTTTAAACTGCCTCTGTAGCATAACTGTTTGGTAAGCAATGGTTTACATTTTGCTAAGGTGATTTAACTCCTATTTCTAGATATTTATTATAAAAGCATTAAGATATAAATGTATCAGTTGGGTTTGTTGATAAGTCAGTGTATTTAATTTGTTACCGGAAATGCGTGTGGTTGGTTGACTGATGGGGTATTGGTCAGTTCCTTTACCAGTCTGAAATTAAACATACACAGATGCAGGTCTTAGTTGACTGCATCAGGGAGCACTGATTTTTTCTATGCTTCCCTTTTGCTTTCTAAGCCCCTTTATTTGCTTTAGGATTGTTCTCATTTCATGTAAAATTCCCACACTCAGCCTTTTCGGGGTCTCTGTAATGCCATTTTCCCCCTTGACTGTTTTTCCCGTGTAGTCCCCCTTTCTCTTGGTCCTTGTGAAGTCACATAGTTCAACAGATACCCTGTTTCTTGTTGTGACTTCTGTTCTTCCAAAGAACTTCATTCTGTTAACTCCACAAGAGGAGCAACTACTCCCCTTTGGGCCTTCCGATGTCTTTCAACCCTGTCTTCGCTGTCTACTGTGCCCTGGATGCTAGTGAAAGACCTAGCCTTTCTGAGGCAAAAATGAACTTGCTCTTCTATCAATCAAAATAAACAAACACAAACCTTTTGATTTCTGAAAAAATGCTGGATTTAATTTTTTTCCATGAAATGTTATCATTTAGTTGTTTTTTCCATTAGACCTAATAATTAAGATCTGTTTCAATAGAATACATTCTGTAGTGGTCCCCGCTGAAAATGTTTTAAAAAGAAAAGAACTAAAATAAAATTTGATCCCAAAACTTGCTGGATTTTATAGTCATCCAATATGAAGCTTTTCAGTAAAGCAGCTCTCTAGAAGTTAGAAAAAACAAAGCAAAACTTTGCACAGTATAGAAAGGAAGTGCTGTTGCCACCTCAGATGCTAATTTCGGAGAATCTTACATCAGATCTGGCTAAGAACTACAAATATTTCTAACCAGACAGAAAAATCAGGGCACTGTGGGCAGAGCTATAGACTTTGTCTCTCCAGCCACCACTTCTATAAGAATAGCCCTGGAAACTGAGATTGGAGGAAGTATGTGCAGGATTTTCTCACAAAACAGTATAAAAAATAAATTATCACACCTTGTATTTGCTTTAAAATAAGTGTGCTTAGATAAGTCTATGTTTTATGGATGTAGCCACATTACATGGATGAACCTGAACTTTTTTTTTTTAAAAAGAGAGCAGAGATTACTATGGAAGTTAAAGTTATAAAAGAACAATTACCACATCGAGCCATTCTACTGCTGCTTAGCCTAAAGAAAGTGGTGAACATTTAAGTTGATTATTGCTAATAACCTGCGATCTCATTTACCAGAATTGTAATATAGGGAACTACATAATGTGGTACATTGGGAACCAGAGCACTAATCTATTTTTATACCCCTCTCTTTCTCCCGTTTGCAAGCTAAGCTCAGCACTGGCCAGAGAGAAGTAACAGTTCAAAAAGGACCGCTGTATAGAGCTGAAGGTTACCCTGTCAGCATCGGCTGTAATGTAACTGGCCATCAGGGACCTTCTGAGCAGCATTTCCAGTGGTCTGTTTACCTGCCGACAGCCCCGGACAGGGAAATACAGATCATTAGCACCAAGGATGCCGCCTTCTCTTATGCAGTGTATGCACAGCGTGTGCAGAGCAGGGACATCTACCTACACAGAGCGCAGGGAAACTCAGTCTTTCTGCACATCTCAAAGCTCCAGACAAAGGATACTGGCGAGTATGAGTGTCACACCTTGAACACGGATGAAAAATACTATGGAAGTTACAGTGCGAAGACTAATCTAACTGGTAAGACGTTGGGCCCCTTCCGCTGCCCAGCCACGGAAAAGCCGGTCTCCACCGTCACATAAGAGCTTTTTCAGGGAGACAGGCTTTGTTCTGTTTGCTTTGGGAAAAGAGTCCGCCTGGCCCTCTGGATAGTTGGGGGATTTGTTACAAGTCAGTATCTCACAGTCTCTAAAACCACCAGTCCAGTTTTCCCAATCATGTACTATAGAGATTTAAATAGTGTGCGGTCTTCCCAAAGCCTCAGCCACAGATGTCCATAGGTTGGTATTAGCACAGCGTTAGACAAATTTTAAAGGATTCCCACCATCTTTGCGTCCTTGCTGAGAGGCAGAACAGTAACTTAATGAGAAAACTGGTGCTAGTATTATACGTAACAAGTCACTAGCTTGGAAATTATTTTCAGACTACCATTCTGTAGCACTTTTTACTGTAAGCAGAGGGTCATAGTCCTTGCACAATTGTCACCACGTCCCTTTGCCTGAAACACCTAGCACTACTTTTTTAGCTTAGTGAATTCCTACATATCACTCAGGAGCCAGCTTTGATAATAGCCTCTTCTGAGGAACCCACCTCGCTTTCCTTTCTCTCGATGCTCTATTGACAGCGCTATTATTAGCACTCACCCCGTTCCGTGGTAATGGGCTCTCAGGATACACCTCTCCCATCACTCTCTGAGCTTCTTGAGAGAGAATGTTTATCTCAGCTCCTCACACAGAATACATGCTCAATAATTGTCATCGATTCAAGCTACACATTGCTTTCACTTAATCTTGGGCTGTGTTATTTCATTTGAAGGTGAGGAGAGATAGCATAGTAGGATGGTTATGAAAACTTTGGTAAAGATTGCATAGTAGTTCTGAATAATAAATTATAACCAATTATTTCAGATCATTTTCATAAGAGGAAGGAGAAGGCCCAGGAAAATGAAGTGCAATGCCCACTTCCATGTAGTCCGATTTAGGGACAGAGAGTCCAAGTCTAGGTTCGGGAGCTCCCAGTGCTTTCCCCCTATCGATACTCATGTCTGAGTAGCTAAATTAGCTATAGCCTGCGCTAATAAGGCAAAGCCAGAGACCATATATCATTGAGCCGTTTCCTTTGCCAGGTTCCACAGACAGTACGCAAATGCCATTGGTTCCACTGCCAATGGGGAAACTTATGGCTGGTGGAAACCCAACTCAAAGGGTTTGTCTTGCACATGAGGGTTCAGGGCACCATCTGCACTTAACTGCATAAGAATGGGCTGGGCATATAATCACCATTCCTTTGTTTCCAGTTATTCCAGATACTCTCTCTGCCACCATGCAATGCCAGACTGTCAATAAGCAGGAAGGAGAACCATTAGAACTTACCTGTGAGGCATCCAAAGCCACAGCTCACCATACCCACCTCTCTGTCACCTGGTACCTGATGCAGCCAGGAGAAAGTGGCCAACCCACTGCGATCATTTCTCTCTCCAAAGATTTTATGCTGACCCCTGGGCCTTCATACACAGAGAGGTTTGCAGCTGGTGATGTGCGGCTCGACAAGCTTGGGGTCACTACCTTCAGGCTGTCCATAGGCAGGCTCCAGCCCTCAGACCAAGGTCAGCTGTTCTGTGAGGCAGCCGAATGGATTCAGGATCCTGATGAAACCTGGATTTCCATCACAAAAAAGCAGACAGATCAAACAACTCTGAGAGTCCAGCCAGCAGGTAATTAATTACCTTCTCAGGAAATTTGTGGCTTCACTAGTAATGGGTATTGAAGGGATATCTTTTTAATTTTTTTAATGTTCTGCTGACCCAAAAATACTTAGCTAGAAATTCTGACTCAATTCTGGTTTTGTCATCTGGGGAGCATGACAAAGAAGAAGTACATTCCACTTTGGCTTTGTTCATAGGAGGATGTACATGGGATGAGAATGTTAAACAGTTAGATGGGTTACACGAGCCAGCCATGGAAATAGTTTTGTAACCATTTTTTCCAGGCACTTTGTAAGCACATTCTCTACATTGTTTAATTTGATCCTAACCATCTATGAGCCAACTAGTGAACTCCTCACTTTGTAAATGAGGACCCTGAGCCCCAGGTATGGTAAATGCTTCCCAAAGCTCAACCAGTGGAGGAAAGGTGGGGCCAGCACTTAAAGGCGGGCCTGTCTCACCCAAAGTCCACTCACCACAGACTGCAGGGCCTCAAAGTAGCCCCAGTCTGCAACACGAGGATTACAAGCTTGAGTCCAGCTGGGCAACTTAGCGAGACCCTATCCCAAAATTTAAAGGGATGGGGCTGGGAATGCCTCAGTGAGAAAGCTCTGGGTTCAATCTTGTCCTTGTCAGCACTGAGATTTCCTTCTACCTGACCTCTTTTTTCATTTTGGAATGGTGCCACTCTTCATGATTTATTGGCATTCCTGTCAAAGTTTCTGTTCTTTCTCCATAAGCTTTGACCCAACGGGATGGAGTTGCTAAAACCATATATATTCATTATTGAAACCAGAATCCAGTGGTGGATAACTGAAGTTTTGTTTGTCTTTTTTAAGATTCATTTCTGTTCCTTTAAAAATTGTCCTGATAGCCTCAAGTATCCAAGTTACACTCAGTGAGTCCTAAGCCGCATCACATGTGGTTTTAACTTAGAAAAATTCCCCTGGCTATTAGAAGACAAAAATAAGAGAGTAAGAAATAAAGACTTGGGATGTTTCTCTAGTAGAGCATGTGCTGAACACACATGAGACCCCGGGTTTAATTGCCAGCACCGAGAGAGGGGGTGAGGGTAGGGGAGGGGGAGAGAGAGAGAGAGAGAGAGAGAGAGAGAGAGAGAGAGAGAGAGAGGTGTCAAAACTTACAGCAACTCGATGTTTTGTTAATATATAAAGCAATGCATAGGGATAATAGATAATGTGAAATAGGAAGAAAAGGAGAAGGGGAAATAGGAGGGGGGAAGAAAAGAGGGACTGGAATTAATATGAGAAGAAGAATAAATGGAAACAAAGTCTTTGTAGATAGGGAAGGATGGAGGGGTTGAAGGGAGGACAGGAAAATGGGGAAAAAATAAGAACAAGATGGATTATGTAAAGTTGTATATTTCCAATGATGAATGTCATTATATTGTATACCTTAAATGTACCAAAAAATTAATTAAAAATATACAAAGTATATCTGACTACATACCTTATATATTTTTGCATAGTTTTTTGTATTGTGCTGGGGATTGAACCTAGAGCTTCCTCACTGAGATATTCCCAGCCTCCATCCTCCTTTTTAAAATTTTGGGTCAGGGTCTTACTAAGTTGCCCAGGCTATATGCAAACTTGTAATCCTCCTGCCTCGGCTTTCAAGAGTAGATTTTTGATGTTGTTGTTGTTTCTGCTACCAGGGATCAAACTTGGGACCCTGTGCTTTCGAGGCAGGTGGTGGAACCACCAAGCTAAATCCCCGGCCCCCACTAAGCACACACCACCATCCCCATCTTTATGGACATTATTTATTCTAGAACTTTTTTTGGGAGAGGGACATTGCCTACAGAACTGAACTGTCACATAAAATGCAATCTTCATGGTATACTTACTGGGGTCTCAACTCTGTGGTGCTGAAAGGATAGATGCAGTGGTCTTTCTAAATACCTGCCTTGCTTTTGTTACTCAGTGAGAGACTTGCAAGTCAGAATTACTGATGAGAGCACTTCCGCTGAAGGGAAGCCTTTGGAGCTGGTTTGTCTGGTGACGGGCAGTGGCCAGGACCCACAGCTTCAGGTCGACTGGTTACTCAGTGGGAATGAAATAGCCCACTTTGATGCTGGTGGAGTCCTGGATCTGAAGAAGGATTACAAAAACAGAGCAAGCCAAGGACAGCTCCAGTTTTCCAAGTTAAGCCCCACAGCTTTCTCCCTCAAGATCTTCTCAACGGGCCCCGAGGATGAAGGTGCCTACAGCTGTGCAGTAACCGAGGCGGTGAGAACTCCAAGAGGCTCCTGGCAGGTGCTGCAGAGAAAGCTGTCGCCCGTCAGCCAAGTGCACCTGAAGGAGCCAGCAGGTAAGTGAAGTCAGGACCATGAGCCAGCCCCCTCCGTTGGCAGCACAGGGGCTTCATGGATGCTGAGGCCTTCCTGTGCCTGCTGAAGGGAAAGTGGAGTAAAGGAAGATACTTAGGCTAGCTGGGCATAAGTCTTCCACCTGAGCCATTAAGTAGAACATGACCATGCACACACCTCCAAATCTCAGCTTCTTCATTTGTAAAGTGATGGCACACAATTAGAGGATCCTTAAGTCCCTCCTTGCTGTCTTCGATTCTTTGATTCTATTAATATTTGTTAGTTCTAAGCTGGGCATGATGGCACACGCCTGTAATCCCAGCACTCGTGAGGCTGAGGCAGGTGGATCTCTGTGAGTTCGAGACAAGCCTGGGCTACACAGTGAGTTCCAGGTCAGTCTCAACTACATAGTGAGACCCTGTCTCAAAAAAAAATTTTTTTTGTTACTTCTAATTTTTATACATTGGCCCTTTTTATCTAAGCAGAGAACAGCTGTATTAATAAAGGAGGGAGAGGGAGAGGGGGAGGTGGTGGGGGAGAGAGAGAGATGGTTAAGAATACAGAGCTACACTTGCGGAATCAACAGCCACATTAGCCCACCCCTGTGGCTGGTCATCTTCCAGTTACCTTCTGTGAATCTGCCACTAGGTTAGCCTGCTGAGGTGTGGTACTTAAGTCACCATTTTGCCACACAGTGAGCAAGAAAGAGGGGACTGAAGCAGCCAACTCCATGCCTTGCACTTGGCTGTGCGGCGGCCAGATGCCTACTGAATGTGTGCACGAAACTCGGCATGTTGCTGCCGTGGTTTGGATGTAGGCTGTCCTTGAAAGGTTTGGGTGCCGGAAGTTTGATGTCTGGCAGCGTGCGTGCATCGTGTGGTGATATTCAGGTAATTTGATGCCGGAGCTCCACCCACATGCATGAGTACCATGGGGAGAGCAGGTTATTCTAAAGTGAGGCCACTTCTGTTTCTCTTTTCGTCATCATGTTCTGATGTAGCCAGAGGGCCCTCGCCAGGATGCTGGTTCCAAGGTGTTCGAACACTCCAGCCAACAGAACTGCGAGCCCAATAAACCCCTTTACTTCCAAAGTTTCCCAGCCTCACATATTTTGTTACTGCAACTCAAAACAGAACCTGATAGCTACTCGGCTCTCCTTTACTTCTGGAAGTTTGGGTGACTTTAAATATGTTTGCATAATCAGTGCCTTATGTAGGAAGTGAAGACAGACAAATCCACAGCTAATGTTAGGATTCTTTGGGCTGAATGGTAAAGTCAAAATCCAGAAAAAACAATTGCCCAAAAGCAAAAAGAAAAACAACGTTAATTAAAAACTGAACTAAAATGAAGATATTCTTGCTGCACTGGCTCCTTAGAGCCATCTCCAAAGACAAATGCATTTCCCTTTCATGTTTGTCCCATCTCCCTGTTGGCTAAGAAGGAAGACGAGCATGCTCAGGCCTCAAGGTGCCAGCCGGAAGTGAGATGGTGACAGTTTTTTCACTAAACATTTGATCTGACTCTCTAGGATTCAGGAAAAACAGTGTAGGTAGGTTCATGCATTTTGCACAATTCAATTTCTGTCTTGTGTCTCTCAGTCTCCCCGAAACGTATCTGCAAACTTAAACCCAGGATGTGGGAATTGGTACCAAAGGGACCTGAAGGTGTGCTTTGTGTTATGCAGCTCATAATGCTATCAGCAGGGTTATCTTCCAAAGCTAAAAATAATTCTTTGCATAGGCTGGAGTCCAAACAGGGACCGATATGCAGAACTAGGAAAACTTATTAGCATATTTATTAAGTATCCTGTTTAACATTCTGTTTTGAAAGTCAAGCTATTATTTGAATTATGAGCAGGGTTTTGTCATTCTGTCAATATTTCAAACAGAAGGAGGCACCCACTGTCACGGCGATGTGTAACTTCAGCATACCTGGTTATTTAGCACTTCTTATCATGGGGCAGGGATGACTTCAATGAGTTAAGGAAATGTGATTTTTAAAAAATTAATTATAATGGTTAAAGCCATGACATTTTAGTAATAGTTTCCCCTCAAATTTCTAAACTTCATATGTAAGCCATTTTATCTTAAAAAAAATTTTTAAGGCATAATTATGCCCCTAACCCTCCAAATTTGCAAGCAGGTTTGCTAGTTTCAATCCTATTTCTGGACATTAACTTTCATTCTACCTTTGTAACCTGTGTACATCTATACATAAAACAGCCCAAGACTGAACTTCCTAGCCAGGAAGAGCAATTTGCAAATTCATTTAGATCCTCTTTAGATTTCTAATGTCAATTCTATTTTGCTTTTCTCTTTTGCTTCGAGCGACCTCTGCTTTTGCCTGTGCCTCTTATTAAACACTAATGCTAATAGCCAACCATTTTGAGTATTTTCCCTAGCCCGCCAACCTCAGCTGCTTGTGTCTGCCCTTTGTTCAGTGCTCTCAACAAGGCAGTAGGAAGGTGCTGTTATTATGCGAGTTTTCGCAGGAAAGAAAATAAGGCTCAGAGAGGTCAAGTGTGTTGCCCAGGGTAATTTTGACTCCAGAAATCTTGACCTTAAATTTAATGCTGGCTGCATGAGATGCCCAAGCTCCTGATGTATATTCACTGCCCACAAAGCAACCAGAACAAGACCCTACACAGTAAGCATTTGTTGAAGGAATGACTGCATTTTTACACATCTTGAATTTCCCTTCTAGGAACTAGTTTAACATTTACAGTTTTGTACTGTAGTTTAGCCATTAAGAAGGCTCTCCTTTTACCAATAACAGACAGATAGATGATAGTAGATAGGCAGATCGATAGATATCATGTATGTAATATATACACACACACACACACACACACACACATATATATTCCCCAAAGTAATTATTTTTATTGTGGTACTGTGAACAAAAATCTAATTAGCACTGTTCTTTCCCTGCTCAAAACACATACCGAACTAATTAGGACTGATTAGGGGAAGATAAGAAGGAACAGTTAGATTGTATTGAACTCCAAAGGCCTGAATTCTAAAAGGCTAAAACTTTAAATTAGCACAGTTTCATCAGCTTCAGGTTCACACACCCACTCTAATAATTCTAACAGAAATACTACTGAATATTTATTCAACTAGAAATTCCTCAAGATGGGCTAATTTAACAAATTGATAAATAAATAAGTGCAACTGATAAACTGTTAAGTGTAAATAGGTTCTCCTAATATACCTGCTGCTGCCTTCTTCCCACTATTTAAGTGTTTAGCAGACCTTTTTTTCCGGGGGTGGTGCAGGAGGAAACAGCCTGATAGGATTTGTCATGAACTGGTCAGATCCTCCTTAATGCAATTTCACTGTATTTTAGAAAAAATTTCATTTACTCGAAACATTTTTCTCTTCTAAAATCTGTAATCCGTAGCAAGAAGTGTGGTCGTGTCCAGCCAGCAGCAAGCTGTGTGGGAAGGACAGCCACTCACCCTTCTCTGCCAGGCAGGGGGAACGGAGAGCCCTCTGTCCGTGAGCTGGTGGCGCACCCTGCAGGACCAGGCCACTCCCGTGCTCGTAGCTGGCATAGGGCAGGATGGCACTGTGCAGCTCGGTGCCTCCACTGGAGGCAACACAAGGCTGGACAAAGTGAACTGGGCCACCTTCCGGCTGGAGATCACGTCTACCACAGTGACAGAGAGCGGTGTGTATGAGTGCAGAGTGTCTGAGGGAACCCGGAAGCAGGCCGGACAGCTGCACTGGGCTCACAATATTTCGGTCACTGTGAAATCTCTAAGTAAGTACCAAAGAAATCCTTTTGTGAACTTGCAATTCATTCTGCTGTGTAATGTGTACGTCATCCCGAGTCCCTCAGTAATGATGTATATATCTCAGGTCACAGAGCAGTCTCTGGTACTGGGCCTCTCATTCACCTCTATAGTTTACTCCTCTTTATAAACCCCATCTTTTGAATGCAATGAGTGAACTGATGTTCAGAGTTCTTTAAACAATCCTATGAATTGGAATGGATGTTTTTCTGCTTCTCTTTTTTATACTGAGGATTAAAGACAATTGCTGTACTCTAAGTTACACCCCCAGTCCTTTCTATTTTATTTTATTTTAGACAAGGTCTCCCTTCATCACTAAGTTGTCCAGGCTGGGCTTGAACTTGTGATCCTCCTGCCTCAATCTGCCTAGTGCTGCAATTACAAGCCTACAGCAGCATGCCTGGATTCAGAGTGAACTCCCAGATGACTTAGCTGAGGCTTATACAGTTTGCCTTTTGACAGCTCAGCCCTGGCATTGCAGAGTCCCTTCTAGCCTGGGCAAGAGATCCTACTACTGAATCCAGGAGTGGTGGAAGGAAGTAGGCAGGACCACAGGGCCAAGAGAGCTCTACCCATTCGGCAGTGCTGTCCAAGAAGCAGACTGGAGAGACACTGACTATTGGTTGTTGCTGCTGAGAACAGTCATAGAAAGGGTCAACTGAGGTCAGAATTCAGAACAGACTGTACTGTGAACCAGCTTCTACCACCCCCCCACAAATATGACGGTCTAAATGGACAAAGTCACATCCCAACCTGAAGAGTGGCACTAGGAAAACTTTTAACTACTGCGTGTTGATTTGGGATATGCGTTAGAGATTGGGTTTCACTTTTCTCTTTGCAGAGTCAAGTTTACAAGTTAGTCTGATGAGCCGTCAGCCAAAGGTAAAGTTAACGGACACCTTTGACCTGTCCTGTATAGTTGGGGACACCTACTCTGGCCTCGCGCTGCCCTTCACCGTGACCTGGCAGTTCCAGCCGGCCAAGTCTCCGGTCTTCCATCAGCTACTTCAAATCACCCATAATGGCACTATTCAGTGGGGGGATTTCCTCCCCCAGTTCCCCAAGAAGACAAAGGTTTCCCAGTCTTCATATCGTTCACAACTCCTAATCCATGACTCCACTATGGAAGAAACAGGAATGTATCAGTGTAAAGTGGAAGTTTATGACGGAAATTCCCTACACACGAACAATCCAGCCAGGGCATCTGCCACCTCTCACCCACTGAAAATATCTGTCACTTTGCCAGGTAAGCACTCCTCGAAAGTAATCCCTGCTCTTAAAAATTCATTTTCATTTGGGTAGGTTATGGAAATAAAGTCCCCTGTCTCCCATGTTTGTGTTGTATAAGCAGAAAACTGGCTTATGTTGTTAGCATGTCTAGCATGGCCACAGTAGTTGTTAAAAACACTGAAGTCCTCCTACACTGGCTCGTAACCGTGCTTAGTGTCCCTTCTATCCCTTCAGTGGTCTGTAAGTTCCCAGCTGCTAAAGGGCCTAGCCCAGCACAGGAGGAGCCCCAAAGGCTGTGCTCCAATGGAGAGGCACCTTTTAGGTAAGGTCTCTGCCCATGTCCTGGCAGTTATCAAATGTTGGGACTGTCCTCCCTAGGGGTAGGAGTAATAGCAATTCTACTAGAATATAGTTTTCTACTACTTTGTAATGTGCTATTGTGTAAGAGAAGTTATGATTGTAGTCAAACATAATCTACCTTGTCAGTCAGTGACAGAGCATGGAGGTTAAGAGTAAGACACAACCTGGGCAATGTTCTGCTGGGCTGTGCATCTTCTCTCTCTTAACTTGCAACCTCTTAGGACAGAAAGCTTGGGAGATGCTGAAGTCATTTAGATCTGAGGAGCAGTGGATAGCAGTAGGACATTGGTCAAGTCACCCAATCTGTCAAAACCATTGTTATCTCTCCTTTAAATTATTGATGTGCAACTTAAATGTGGTATCCTGTATAGTGTGCCTGGCAATGTCTGATATAGCAGGCATTTGCTCAGATGTGGTAGCTGTCATATTCTGTCTGCTGCTGAGCAATATTTTTGGTAGTAGTAATTATCTCCTTGTTTATCGTTTCATGCCTTAATTGACTTGTATGTTTTGTGACATTTGAAATTGCTGCCCTACACCTTTCTCTTGACATTTCTTGTTTTTTCTTTGGCCCCATAATACAAGATTTTCTGACTTCCTTTCCTAACACTGACTGCTTCTTCTAATTCTCTTTTACACAGTTCTCTTCCACTGAGTCATTTTTTTTAAGAGTAGGAAAAATTTATTGAAGGAAAGAAAGCTTCTAAGAGAGACAGAGGGGGACAGGAAAGTGGGTTGCCCACCCACCCCACTTCTCAAAGATGTTTTATACAGCAAAGTCTTGTGGTCAGGTGGGTACAAATGGGAACAAAACTGTAAGACCCAATGGAAAATTATATTGTCATCCTGGGTAGCCTTATAGCTTTAAGTCTGGGTATAGCTTTAACTCTGGAGGAGACAAAACTAAAGAAACCGGTAAATCCCAAATGTACTAGATATCCAAAATGCAAGTTTGCAGTCTCTAAAATCAGAGAATGAATTCTAGGAACAATGGAGCTTAGGAGTAGGAAAAATGCATGGAGGGAAAGAAAGCTTCTGTCTAAGAGAGACAGACGTGGGACTGGAAAGTGGGTTGCCTGCCCACTCATCCCACTTCTCCAAGATGTGGGGAGGTGGGTACAAAATGGGACAAAACTACAAGACCCAGTGGAAAATTACAAGGTGGCCATGAGATGGGGCAAAACCACGATCAACTAATAAGATTACAAGTACAGTCACCCAGGTAATATTGATTAAATGGGGGGGTCAAATGGGGGAGCAAGTCATGTAGCAAGCATACAAGGATTTTCAGTAAGGGTTGGGGGTCAGAGATATTTCCTGGAAAGGTTGGGTTAAGATTTTGGCCCCCCACCCAGGTGATTGAAACCTATTTAGAACATCAATTGCTGCTATTTATCCCCAGGGGAAGCACAAGTGTATAGTAGTTTCTCTCCTTTTACAATTCTGGCCTTCAGTGAATGTGTCTCTGATTGTCCTCCATGTTAGCTCCTTGATGGTCCTCCACGTTGGCTCCCCCTGGGCTGGCCTCGTCTAACTGCCTACAAGATATCTAATTAACTTACCTATCTGCAATATTTTGCCCCTGAAGAAGTACCCCAAACTGCTGTGAGGGCGCGAAGGGTGAAGACTATTCTGGCTACTTCTGGCTGAAGAGGGTAGTAGTTGTGATCAGCAGTCAGAGTTACTCGGCAGAGGGTCTATCTAAAGGCCCTGGATAGGTGCCAGGCACTGTCATCTTGGGTAGTCTTATAGCTTCAAGTCTGGGTATAGCTTTAACTCTGGAGGAGACAAAACTAAAGAAACAGGTAAAAATACATGGACCAAATACTAAGGTCAGCAGGACTGCTATGAATATAGCCAACAAGGGTTTCCACTAGGAGGAACTAGTAACAGCCTCCCACAGAGGAAAAGGAGGAGGTCCAGGGGACTTCAGAATCCAACATAGAAGTCATACGGTATAGTTTAGCATTTATGAGCTGTTTACAAGGTCAATCTGGTGGATCCCAGTAAAAGAAGTCTAGCACATTTGTCATTGGTTCCATTTGAATGACTCCTTGGAGTTTGGCAGACACAAAGTTGTAGGATCCTGTAGAAGTTTCCTTTGTGTCCTGCATTTTGTTGAGCTTCAGGGGCTAGGGCCAAAATACTGTCAGTCCTCTTCATTTAGTTATATTTCTGTCAGATAAAAGAGATGTTCATCTTAGTATGGATTAGTCTTCCAGTCAGACACCTCCATCTGATCACAAGACTTTAAATGATATAAAGAAAACTCTTATTTGTTATCCTTTAGTAGGATGCCATCTCATGCTGGCTTGACACGTATCTCTTATCACAAGTAGCTGGAGTGTAACAGAAAGGCAGATACCATTCTGGAAGCTTTATCTTGAAATCTAGCAGCCACAGAGGAGGGAAGTGCTTTGAGCCAAACACGCCAACCAATAATCTTGGTGGAACCTCCAAAATGGTATAGGGGGAAGAGATGTAAATCCCAAATGTACTAGATATCCAAACCGTGAGTTCATGTTTTCTAAAATCGAAGAATGAATTCTAGGAGCAACAGACGTTAAGAGTAGGAAAAATGTATTGCGAGAAAGAAAGCTTCTGTCTAAGCGCAACAGAAGGGGGACCAGAAAGTGTGTTGGCCCCCACTAATTCATTCTTTAAAGACCACTGTTCCTTTGGATGCACCTCAGTTTGTTTTCTTCTCATTTTACATTCTCTTCAGGTAGACTCTCCCTACCCCATGTGTTGAAATGGATACAACCTATATGTTGACAACTCCCAAGTTCACTGTCCTAAAAAACTTCTCTTCTGATCTCTAGACTCACATCCAACCACTTCTCAGAGATATCTACACTCGCTGTGTCATAAAGGAAACATACCATTATTATCTAGAGCTACGCTTCACCCATTGGTTCCTCTGTTGCCATCACCTACTGGTGACCCAAGTTGGAAACCTGAGTCATCCAAAACTCCTCTATGTCCACCTCATGTCCAAAGCTCCACAGCATGACATACAGGCTCCCCTATAATCTAGTATATGTGTTTTTCCAGCCATTTCCTTTTACTTTCCATTTTCAATTCGAACTCTAGCCACACTGAATTACTTGTAGTTCCTTGATAATCCAGGTTCTCTCAAAGTTTTATTTGTCTTTTCTGTTGGTACTTGGGATCAAACCCAGGGCTTTTGCACTAAGCTACATCCCTAGCCCTTTTGTATTTTGACACAGGTTCTTGGTAAGTCTCTTAAGTTGCCTAGGCTGGGCTTGAACTTATGATTTTCCTATCTCAGCCTCCTAGAGAGCTGGAATTACAGAAATGCACTACTATACCTGAATAAATTGTTTCTTTGTGTATAATTCCTTAGGCCCATCATCATAATAATTTCTATAACCCTTAAGACTTAGTTAAATGTTCCCTCCTCCAGGAAACCTCGCCTCGTTCCTGTATTTGGGTTAGGCATTCCTTCTGGGTGCTCTGATTCTTTCTGCCCTTCTCTCCCTCCCCCATCCCATCTGACCAATGAGGGCAGGTATCCTAGAATAGACTGGCATGTAATATGAAATGTTATTAATCAATGTTTTTTGGAGGAAGAATAAAGGAACCTATTGACCACAAAAACTCTTATAAAATTAGATTTGGTGATGCCAGCAAGAAGTTAGAGATTGGAAGCATATCTTTCTGACAAAGCAGAAAAGTCAGGGTTAAAAGATAGTTGATTCCATATGCATGTGATGTTCCCGTAGTGGGGTGGCTACAAAAAGATGTACAATTTTAATATCTCATGGTTTCCTTTTTTTTTTAAACTTATGTTTGAAGGGAGCTATAACTAGACTTTGGCAAATGGTGAATCCAGAAGTATACTATGGATAGTGAACATACAGGGAATTAACAGTGCCACTTTCTCAATTTGATACATGAAATGCTATAGAGTTTGTATTTAAATACTGAGGCATAACTGTGTGAAAAAGAGATCGGACTTTTCTAGGTGACACTTCCCCTCTCCACCTAGCAAGTGAGAACTAGGGCCAGTGGATGGAAGTTATGGAGGGAGAAAACTCAATAGGATATCAGACAGAATTCACTAGGGCCTGTGCCATCCAAAGAACCAATGGGTCGTTTCATCAGCCCGTGAGTAGTTCAAAGGCTGAGCAGTGAGGGAGGCTGCTACAGAGGAGATTCGCATATGTGAAGGGTGTAGGAAGTCTGTTTGAGTTGACCTCTAACATCCCTTCTGCCCTAAAATTTGTTTTGTTAGCAAAGTAACTGTTTTCATTCTTTTCATGCAGAGAGCAAGCTATGTGTGAATGCAAGCAGCCAAGTCCAAGAGATCTCCATCAACTCCAACACAGTTATAGAATGTAGCATCTTGTCCCAGCACACTAGAAACCTCCAGTTAGCCATTGCTTGGTACTTTGCTCCTATTTCCACTCATACATCTTGGCTGAAGATCTTGGAAATGGACCAGACCAATGTTGTAAAATATGGGGCTGAATTTCGCACCCCGCAGAGAAAACAAAAATTTCACATTGCAAAAGTTTCCCAAAACTTGTTTCGGCTCCATATTTTGAGTGTGGAAGACAGTGATCAGGGAGAATATTACTGTGCTGTGGAGGAATGGCTCCTGACTACAAATGACACTTGGCAGAAACTTGGAGGAAAGAAGTCTGGGCAAACAAAATTGCAACTCAAGCCCACAGGTAAAATTGTGAGTGCATTAGCACACGTCTCTCTATAGAATACCCACCTTCTCTTGGGCAGCTTCTATAGAGTGTTATGTAGAAGTAAAAATATGATCTGGAGTTACAGGAATACTGTGCACCTGTTACAAGAATGACTGCAGGACCTGGTGGCACACCAGAGGGTGGGGGTCACTTGAGGTGAATCAATCTGGGGTTTTGAGGAGCTCAAATAGGAACATGATCCTGTGCATAGGTTCGCTTACCAGCCTAGCCGGCCTGGTCTGTGCAGCTACCCATGGTATCGTATCTCGAGATCTCTACCACAACAAGCTGTGTCACTCCAGTGGGGCTCTACTTACTGTAATTTGGCAGAGAAAGGGTAATACGAAGCATATTTCTCCCACTGTGAACAGAAACTGTACAACTCTATGGGGATGTGTGGAGAAATTGCTTTTCAACATTTGGCTGCCTAAACATAAGGGAAATAAGAGTAGTTAACTGTTGGAATGGCTTACTGAGGGAATCTCCTCTTCCTCAGGAGATCTTTAAAAATGTAATGCAAGTTCCAGCCATCCTCAGGGCTCTCTGAGAGCTCTGCTACCTAAATGTGGGCTGGCTTGGTTAGGTCTCTCAGCGCTGGTTAGGTCACCTCTACTGTTGATTAAAATTAAATGAATGTCACAGCTAAGGCTTGGGGACTGGATCAGATCCAATAGCTCAATGCAAATAAGTTGATCTAAATTGGCACTTACGTTATTATTTTCAAGGTAATGTCAAAGAATAAGTTTATAATTGAACACTGCTGTATATGAGGTAACAGGAAGGCACAGATAAATCAGGCAGAGCTCTTGCCTGTAAGGCACTTGCAGTCTGTGGAAGCAGCAGGGGCAGAATAGGATCTCTTCCTGCTGTTCTGGTTCCTCTCTTCTTCCTCAGGGCCCTCTTCCTGTCCCTGCTAAACATGAGTGCTCCTTAGGGATATATCCTGGGCCCTTCTGCTTCTTATTCTCTGCTTTCCTCAGAACATTTTAAACATTTCCCCAGCTTCCAGTACTGCCTTTGAGATGATGAGTCTGGGTCTTCATGATCTGCCCTGATCTCCTGAGCTCTAGGCCTTTAAACCTAACTTCCAGCTGTTTGTCGGTATGCAGCTGCCCCAGAGACCCTTATCCTGAGCCTGCGCCAATTGCCTTTATCATCCCTGCCAATCCACAAGACTCATTTGTAACATGTCCTCCCTCTGCATCTGTGTGGCTGCCATTCCTAGCTCACAGTTGTTCCAGCCAATACCTGGACAGTGTATGTCTGTCCCTTTTTAAGAGGCTGCCATTTCCTGGCTCAGGCCAGTGCTTACAACGTAGAAAGACAGGCTCTGTGTTGTCAGGTTTTTTGGTACATCAGGAAATTTTGGCAGTATTTTTTAACACTTCTCTCAATTTGAAACCATTCACAGCTAAGCAAATTCTTTTAAAACACAAAGCGTATCAAACAAAAACTCTCTGTGAGTTAGGGGTGACGGTGGGTTGCCATTTGCATATCACGCAGAAGGGAAGGAACTAATGATAAGGCTCCAGGAAAATATACTGAAATAGACTGATCAGAACGGGGGGGTAAGGTGAATTTTCTCTGAGGTCAAAGGAAGAATTTCAAGAAGAAAATAGACTTTAGTAACAAAACACCGAGAGGACAAAAAAAAAAGAAAAGAAAGACTGGAGGGTTCCTTGTGCTATAAAACTGGACCTGGCCAAGTGTAGTGATGGGATTGGAATTGGAAGCCATAGTGCAATAAAATAGGAAGTAACTATTGGAGTGGGAAACAGATTCCTGTAAAGCACTACTTCACATGCTTCTCCAGGAAGGAAAGAAAAAAGTAAGCTATAAAAGAGCCTAAGGTCAAAGTTGTTTTTAAAAGATGAATTAAATACATTTGTAATGGAGTTAAAAATTTAATGCACATTATAATTTCTTTATTTATTTTATTACTCGGTGTCATTCTAAGTCCTCAACTCACCTGCTAGTTAGGGGGGAGTATGTACATCAACTTCCGTTTAAAATATATTCTAATCCAATAACTTAAATGGTTCCAGTGGGTGGTATTTTAACACTTCGGTCAAAATGCTTAGTCTCTTGAAGAACCTCTACTCCCTCTGCATCTATACTCCAGATACCATCTTGGTGTGCTGGAGGAAGATAATTTTCAAAGAATGAGGGTTAGTGATGTAATACACGACTTGAAGGGGTACTGGAAGCTTTGAGTAAACCCTCTGGGAAACTGAAGAAGTTGGCCAAGGAGAAGTCAAAGCAGCAGATCAGAGGACCCAGCTGAAGCTGATTTTTAGTGGCAGGGTCCACTGAACAAGAGGAGGAAGACAAGTGGCTGGTTTGATTCATAACAGAGAATGTTCAGGCAAATGTGAAAGAAAAAAGGACAAGGATCAAAGAAAACTGTAAAAAAAAAAAAAAGTGAAAGTTCTGATGTCTAAAGAATACCAGATGGGATCTTCCCAGTGAAAACTAGTTTTCTGAGCAGGTGTTCAGTCTGAATGTCCAACCCTGTCATTTTGTCTTCTAGGAAGTAAGGTACGGATCTCCAGAGTGTACCGGACAGAAAATGCCACTGAGCACGGAAATGTGGACATCCACTGCAGCCTTGAGGGCTCAGGGGCCCCGACCTCCCTGTACTCTGTGACATGGTTCTGGAGAAGAGAAGATGGCAGGCTTCACATGCTGGCGCACCTACAGCACAATGGCTTGCTGGAGTTTGGGGATGAGGGGCGCAGGAGACACTTGCAATGCTACCGTTCATCTCCTACAGACTTTGTCCTGAAGCTGCATAGGGTGGAGAAGGAGGATGCTGGGATGTACTGGTGCAGTGTGGCAGAGTGGCAGCTACAAGGCCACCCAAGCAAGTGGGTCAACCAAGCATCAGATGAGTCACAGTCGATGGTGCTCACAGTGCTGTCTGCAGGTAATTAGGGGTTATGCTGCCACGTGCTCATGGTCGTGAGACTGGCTCTCCTTGTATGCTTTCCCCTCAGCCATGATTTGCTTTTCTTCAAGGTAAAGATGACTTCCAGATTCCCTAAAGAAAATGGCTTTACTACTTCTCTAAGTAGCAATTCATTTGAACAAACAAGGTCTACCTGAGGCTTAGGAAATAGATATGTAAATAACAGGTGCATCTGTCTGACCTCTTCTGCCCTTCTCTTCCCAAACAAAAAAAGCCACTAATATCATGTCTTTTTAAATAACCAAATAATGTGTGAAGCAGACATCCTTACCTCTTGGTAGATCTTACAATTTCAGAAAGCTGTTCAGCAGTGGTATGAGAATGAAAAATAGAGAAATGATGATTTTACATTTTGACCTGACTGAACCAGAATCGATTACATCTAAATATTTCCCTAGTCAAAACACAAAAACAGAACAATCTTTCTCGATCAATAAATAAGTACTACCTTCCTTGTCTCCTTCTATACTGAAAAAAAAACAAAACAAAAAGCTACCAGCATTTTGATAGTGATGTAGGTGTTAATCTTTTCCATTATTATGATAAATACTTGACATAAGCAACTTATAAAGATGAAAGGTTTCTTCGGCTCACAGCTTTAGAGATTGTAGTTTATGACTAGTTGGCCCTGTTCTTTTGAGCCCATGGTGGGAGCAAAACCACTAACTTCATGACCAGAAGGCAAAAGAGAGGAAGAGAAAAGGACTAGAGTCCCACTGTCCCTTTAAGGACATGCCCCCAATGACCTAAAGATCTTCCCTGGGCCACATATCCTAAAATCTCCATTGCCTCCCAATAGCACCAAGCTGGACAGCAAGCTTAACCTCATGGACCTTTGAGAGACAATAACCATGCAAGCCATTTGGTGTGCTTCTTCTCACTGTGCCTTGAAAGACATCAAGGGAGACAGGGTGCCCTACAGAACATATTTACGGACTCCGAGAAGGAGGGCAGCTACTCAAGGACCCTTGGCCAAACCATGACCCTTCTCCATGTGAGTAGGTCATCTTCAGCCAGGCACATCATAGGTGTATATTAAGCATGTATTAATAGTAAAAGCAAAACTTTCTCCAATAGACCAGTAAATCCTCTCTGGTGACCAACAACTGACTACAACAGCTGCCCGCTCATTTTCTTTACCGTCTTGTTCTAGTGAGGTTCAAGGAGAAGAGGTAAACTATAAAGCTAAACTTACCATGGGAAAGGGCCACTGAGATAGAGTTGTGGTCTTAGTGCTTTACACCAAGAAAGGTAAATGAAAATGATCAATGAAGGTGACATTCCCTGGCTGGCTTTGGTGATATTTCTTAGGAGGGCAGGAGTATTACTGTGAATGTATGGCAACTCCTCAGAAATAGGAATGGCTGCATCTAAGCCACACACACAAGCTTCTAGACTAGAGGCCAAAGTTTTAGGATTTGTTCCCTGGAGTGGCATCATCCTCTTCTTTTTTTTTTTTTTTTTTTTTTTTTTTTTTTTCCTGATGCTGACAGTTGAGCACATGGTCACTCTACCACTGAGCTATACTGCCAGTCCTTTTTATTTTTAGTCTTGAGATAGGGTCTTGCTAAGTCACCTAGGCTGCACGTGAACTTAAAATCCTTCTGTCTCAGCCTCCCAAGCAGCAGGGACTCTAGGCCTGCACCATGATTCCTACCTCCACATTATTGCTCTCCTAAGTATCCAGGCAGAATTTTTTTCTTATCTGCTTTTCATTTCGACAGTTATAGGAAGTCCCATACCCCTGAGCACATTCCATACCTGTTTTCCCACTGGAATTCATAGGCTCTATAGAATCAACAATTTTTGCACTAGAATAAATGGATAATAACTGTAAGAAGTACATATTTGCACATTTCCTCTGAGGCAGTTGAGGTCCCTCGTGTGTGTGTGTGTGTGTGTGTGTGTGTGTGTGTGTGTGTGTGTGTGTGTTAATCTCTGTGGAATCCTTGTAAAACAGGATTAAGGTCTTCGAAAGATGAACTCTGGAAAGGAACATTAAAAATTAAGTGGTCTTTGTATTCCTCCCAACTGGAAAAGCTCAAAAGCCTGTGCCTTGACCCACCAAGGTTTTCCAGTGAGACTAATGTCACAGATACTCAAGAAAATCCTTGTAACACAGCATCTGGGTCCTACACCTCACTGTTCCTTTCTGAACAGGGGGGACTCTTGGGTGTTGCAAAGTCCCCAGAGGGTGGAGTCAGATAAACCTCGGCTCCCCTCACAGCTTTACCACCCGCTAGCCATGAAGTCACACTGTGGTGACTTGGCTTCTAAGAGCCCCAGCTGTCTCAGAAAGTGAGTGTCATAGTACAAATCTTTTTATTGTATCTAGGGCAGTTCCTGAGATGTTATAAGTACTAAAAAAAAAAGTGGACCCCACTTCCTCTTTACCTCCAAACATGGTACACAGATTCTGAGAACATAAAAATTGTGAGGAACAAAGCATTTTCCCACAGTTTGATGTCTAGTGGGGGGATCAAATCCAACACGATAGGTGTCATCGAATAAACGTTCCCAGGATGATGAGGAAGCTCAGGTGAAGGCGCTGGTGGCGAGAAGACCTGGGAAGGTGCCCTGGGGTATGGAAACTGCAAAAAGGACAGAAGGTAGTGTAGAGAAAGGTAAGGGTAGGCAGTATAATAAAAAGACACAAAACTTCATGTTATACTTAGGGAACATCACAGCTGAGAATGACAAAAACTACAGCCATGTGGTACAACGGCAAGAGGTGAGACTGGTCAGGTGGGAAGGACACAGATCTCAAATGTGACTAAAGAACAAATCCAAGGGAGTGCACTTTAACATGATGGCTATGGGACATTACTGGACAAGTCCAAGAGAGCAGTGACACCATCTGACTTGCATTTTAGAAAGTTCCCGCTGGGAGTAGTATAAAAGGACCTTGCCTTTTCTTCACTATCTTACTTTCTCGTCAGTGACTAACCCAGCACACGACTGCAGCTGCCTGAGTCTTTTCTCCTCGTCCTGACCCTAGATATTAATGTTTTAATCTGAATGAAGGATTAGCTACGATTAATTGATAGGCCCGCTGTAAGACTTTTCTGGGCACTGGAGTATTTGTAGTTGTGCAGCTCTTGTTGCTATCTCCCAGCTTTTATTTGGATGAGGGCTTATTTAGTAACTCTTAAGAAAGATGCACATCCCTACCGCACTGAAATTTCTGGAGAGGCCACTGCATTTATGTTTTTCCAAAGCCTTCAGTAAGGCTTGACGTATAGCCCTTAACAAATACTTGATGAAAGAGTGAAGGAGTCCTCAATTAGACTGACCAGGGTTTTACTTATTAGGAGATGAACTTGCTATGAGGGAACTTTTATGTCTTGACAGGAGCCAACTCTCTCACATGACTGCACAGGGCATGGTCCATCTTTCAAGTTTTGAATTGGTGGGTGGGGAGAAGTTGGTAGCCCTTGCCATCCTATTCTCATAAGCCAGCATTTCTGAGGTAGTGTCAGGAAGAAGGGCTCCTTATCGTGTGTCCGGCTGTGTGTGGAAGCAAGTTATAAACTAACCTCAGGAGGAAGTGTTCTCATTACATTCTGGCTCTATTTTGCAGGCCTTGTATCGGGCACTTACTCAAATTGATTCAGAATGCCAAACCTTAATGGTTTGAGTGTCACCAATTCTAATCCAAATATGGGTGAGAGGCAGATGGTGGGAAATGGTGGTTGTGGGATCCAGAGCAAACACTGCTCTCCCAGGAGAGGTAATTTAGAAGCACCAGAGCTGACAGTTGCTAGCTGTCGGCCAATTTAGCACTGTGAAGAGTGCACTTCGCTGTCCTTTGATGGCAGATTGCTCTAAGTGGAGCAACCTCCTTCCCATTAAGATAGTCAAGCCCTCTGGCAGTCCCTTCATGGAGAAGGTTAGCATCTCAGAGCAGAAATCCCATTACCAGATTTCTTCCTGACTCTTCTGTGCCAGCCCCATCTCACTTCAGCATCCTAGCAACTGTGACACTTGGTGCCTCACTCCCATTAGTCTCTGCCTCCCACGACTAGAACAGGAAGCCAGGACCTCCTAAGTAATCACGTGAATGTGACTCTCAGCTGGAGGTCACCCAGGTCTGGGAATGGAACAGTCAGCGATCCAAGAAAATTAGCTTTTCATTGGTGTATCAAAATGCCTGATATCATCAACTAATAAAGAAAAGTTCTGTTTGGGACATTTCAGCCTATGGTGGTTGGTTGGCCTGTTGCTCTGGGCCTGTGCTGAGGCAGCACCTCATGGCTGGAGTGTGTGGCAGAGGAAGCTGCTCATTTCATGGCAGCCAGGAAGTACAAAAGAGGAGAGAGAGGTGGGGGGAGGAGGGTAGGTGAGAGCCAGGGAGAGGGGAAGAGAAAGAGAAAGGGCACCTCAGTGACCTAAGACCTCCCATGAGGTCCCACCTCTTAAAGGTTCTAGGACCAAGCCTTTGATATATGGGCCTTTGGAGGACATTTTAGATCCAAAGTATACCACTTGTGGACCCTGTAAGAAGTCAGTAGGCTCTGAACCTGCTCTCTGCCTGGTCTCGTAAAAGAAAAAGTTACCTGTGATCTACTCAGCTTTCACAGTAGCATTCCAGCTGATATTTATTGCTTACTGACTTAACAAACTCACTAGGCACTATGTTAAGTGCTGTATTACACATGATCTCAACACAACTCTAGAAATTGTTGTTTCTGTTTGATTGATGAGGAAACTAATGATTAGAGAAGATAAGTAACTTATCCAATGTCAATAACAGGAAAATTAAAGAGTGAGGATTTGAATCTAGCTCTCTCTGAAATACAACAGGTACTCATTTACTACTCTGGACAAATGGCCATGGCCAGTGCTCTTAACGCCTGGACTCTGCTCTATTCTCTTTCAGGGTTGCAGTTTTTGCCTTCTTTTGACCATACTTTCAAGTGTACTCTGATGAGAACTGGCAGAATAATTGCAGTCAAGCCAGATCATTTTGGAGATGAGTCCCATAGAATGAGGAAAGGGGACTTAAAGAATTAAAATCTAGCTTTGCCATTGCCTCACCTTTCAAAAAGAAAAGTCAAACTGAGGGTGGGGATTACAAAGGAGACCAGACAAACTCTAAGCCATGAGCCTCAGCAGCTCTTTTCCAGCCCCACTTAGAGCTGCAGGGACGATGTTCACTTTGCATCATGAGGCAGCCATCCCCAGGTTCCTGTGTGGTCAGCACTCCTGCAATGAACTCATTCATTCACCAGGCTCCACTGAGCTCCTATGGGCAAAGGGCTGTAGAAGATCACAGAAGCTGCAGGCCCTGCGCTCCAAGAGCACACAATGCAGGACTTGGGCAAAGTCTAGATCCTATCTTGATTCCTCACAAAGAGGTGCTCTTCAACATGTAAAATGCATTAGCAATACAACAAAGGAATCCTTGCAACAGGCGTTTGGTCACAATGACCTCCAAACCCCTTTTCATCTCTGAGAATCTATAATCCCATGAATCCTATAGCTTAACCTTTGAGGAAGCGATTGCTTATGTCATTACAATTTTCCAAGAAAAGCACAGCTATTGTTAGCATCCAATTTTTTTTTTTCCAGAACAGTCCTGATTTCAAATATGATATCATACCTAAGTGACTAGGAAACTACAGTTGATGGCTCGTGTCTCTTTAAGCATATGACTTTCTGCTTCGGGAGTCTGTAAACCTGGTTATTTGACAGTGGCTCAGGGCACTGTTTCCTGGAACTTGTGGTATTTGCAATCTTCCAGCTCTGTTTCCCTGACCCAGGTGGATGCTCCCCGCTCTGCATGTTGTTCTGCCAGTGGTGCTTCCCAGGGGACTGCAGCTGCCAGAGAGATTATAGGCTTCAGCAGGCCTTTATATACTATCTTTGGCCCCTGTGATTGCAACCAATCTGACCAGCAAAAGTTACTGAGCACATTTGCTAGTCAGGCACTGTAGGGGATGCAGAAACAAGTAATACTATCAGATATACTCTAGTAACTCTAATGAACCAAGGGAGGTACTGAAAGGGAATGGAAGAGTCCCAAACCAAGGGTTTACAAGAGGGGACAAGAAAGGGTACTGTGCCCAAGGCAAGGTAGGGTGCCCTGGCAGAGGAGGTGTGACCCAGCTAAGCCCAGAGGACCTGGAAGATTATGTGCAGGGAATGATCTTGGAGGAAAAGGAGCCAATGGAGGGTTCCTGGAAGTGGGCTGCCTGGGGGCCATGCTATGGGTTGGGAGAAAAGCGCTTGCTGGGCAGGTGCAGCTGTGTGAAAGGACAGTGCAGTGGGGTGTGTGTGTGTTTCACAAGCAGCTGTGGGAATACTTCAGTTAAAAATTCAGGACAAGCAACACAGTTGAGATCGAGGGCTGAATTATAGATATCTTTGCTAAGGAAAGAAGATTAAAGGGGAGGTTTTTTTCTTGTTTCCTTTTTTTTGTTTGGTTTTCATTTTGGCTGGTAATTTTAAGTAGGTCATTGGAAATTGCTGGGCAAGTGGGAATTGCACAGCATGTGCCTGGGGGCCTCTCCTCACCCCATCCTGTGCTCGCACATGCAACTTAAGGGGTCTATCCCATTTGGCCTGCTATTTTTACATTTATTTGCTTATAACAATAAATGGAGAAATGCACAGGGTTGACTACTCCATGTAAGTTGGATAATGATTATTCTGTATTTTTTGCCCTTCTGTTGCAGAGCCCACATTTCAAGCAAGGATCTGTTCCTCAGCACCTTTACTGTATTTCCTAGTTGTCTGCCCCATTGTCCTGTCTGGCCTTCTGCTGATTCTCCTCCTCTGCTTATACCAGAAGGCCAGGAAGTTGTCGAGGTGGAGTCTCAGCGCACAGAAAGAAAGGGCGCTCTGGGTGGGCATGAAACAGGGTGGAGGCGGGACCCCAGGCAGACGAGAAGATGAAGAGGCAGATGAATGCAGCTGAATCCTGAGAGGCACCTGTGGCTGGAGTGCCGGGGGACTTTTGAACTGGACTGGCTGGAGCATGAGAGAATTCTCATTCTGTCCTTTACTGTGTCTGTGGCTTCGGGCATGTCACTTGAGGTTTACAGCGAACATTTAGTGAGCATTTATGTGCTGCCCAGAGCTGTCACGTGTTTCTTTGTTCGCCCACCCAGGGTAGCCTTCAGGTGTGGACAGCATCGTTGTTCTAGTGCCTCCTTCCCATAGCACAGAGGAGCAAATGCGCTCCCAAGGCAGAGCCCTGGGTGGGCCCTCTCCTCACTCCTCTTACATCATTGGTTCTCCTGAAAACACCGATGGCCCAGTCACACTGGCTCCGGGTATTCTTTTTGCTCTAGATAAGAGACTTCTGAAGGAGTCTGATGTCACCAAGGCAAAAGGAACTGGGAACATGCTTGTTTACGTCAATTCTGCCTCCCCAACCAGAATGCGACTTCTTCCCAGGCAGAAATCCAATCATCTTCCCCTAGCTCATCTGCAAATGCCGACTCGATAGCTTAAGAGTAGAAGAATCACAGTATTGATCCTTTGACAAAATGATAAAACATTTTATACATTGATGGGGGGCATTGGTTTTTGTGCTCCAAGACTTATTAAGTCATGATGAAGGAAAACTCTTTCTTCTGTCCTTTGAACGGGGTGCTTGTGCAGCAGTGTGTCCGTTGGTGTCAGGGCTTCATGTCTCCGTTACCACCAAGGGGCCCATGGCCCCTGGTCCTTACTTTCTGTGACCTGCCAGTCTGGAAAGTGGGAAAGAATGGTGGCAGTACCTGGAGCAGGAGGGGCCACAGGGCCACCACCCTGCCTATTCTTGCAGGGCTGGGGTTCAAGACAATTGGAAAGCAAAATCATTTTTTTGCGGGGGTACTGGAGATCAAACTCTGGACCTTCGCTTGCAAGGCAGGCGGTGGAACCACTGAGCTAAATCCCGGGCCCTTGAAATCTGATTCTTAAGGACTCCCCAACTCACAGCCTGGAAAATTCCACGGTGGGGCCTTCATGCCATAAGACTTCAACAGGTGTCCTTGCTGGGCCTGGGACCCCCTTGCCTTTATCTCAAAAGGTACTCAGACCCAGTTGTACCTAGAATTGCAAATCAATCAATGCCACCTAACAGACTTAAGAAAATACATCTATTTATCGTCTATGTGACCAATGGGGTCTCTTAAACATTCAGTAATTTGCATTTCCAAGGAGAGCAATTTATTTTTAATTATTTTATCAGGTGCACAGTCCTCTCCAAATGTAATTAGTTCCTTTGCTTCTTTGCAAGCAGATTATTGGTGGCTGCGAGAACTCCCTCCCTAGATCTGCCAATTTCTTGAATTCATCTCCCTTTATAGCCTCCTTTGAAGGACTACAAATGTTTTCTTAAGCATGTCAACACATTTACTTCTCTCTCTGGCAGGGGAGCATAGTTTTTCTAACACAAAGCTAAAATTAAGACTTCTTAGAGAGCACAATGACCCCCTCTCCCCAATTTTTTTTGGGGGGGTTACTGGGGATTGAACTCAGGTCCTTGCACTTGCAAGGCAGGCCACTGAACCGCTGAGCTAAATCCCCGGCCCCCATTCTCCCCACTTTTTAGAAACCTATATTTTAATTGGGATTTTGAAGAAAGAAAATGGAACCCCAACCAGAAACTTACAGACTGGACAGCAGTGCTGCCCATTTTCCTGGATGTCCCCACCCCTCCGCCTCACCTCTCTTGGACCTGGATATGCCTTTTGGATCTTGGTTCAAACACCACTTCTCACCTTTGAACCTAGTACCGCACAGGGGCACACACAGCTATCAAGGCCCCACCAGAGTGAAGCAGGGGGAGTATTTCCCAGCAAGTGCTTCCTGCCTATCAAGCCCATGGTGGGTGCAAGTGCCCAGCAGTGACACAGACACCACTTCCTCCTGTTCTGGAGGGGGACTTACTGCTCATTAGATTTTCTTAGAATCTACATTGCACTGTTTGCCCCATTGTGAGTTTTCAGACAACTAAAACCCCAAAGTCTTCCTTTTTCAACTTTTGAACTTTCAGGAAAAATTTTACTGTGATCCAATTCCACAGACACTTTACATGAACCTTCTCTCCAGTTATGCACTTGATCATTTTAGTGTTTCAAACCAAATGCACAGCTTCATTTTCACTCATTGATTGCAACTTTTCCATTCTGTATCACCACCTGGTTTTGCTTTCAGCTTTTTGATATAAATTCTCTTTGGCAACAGGACGAACCTCTATCTCAGGGATCAACGAACCAGGGCTTAAAAGGCCAAATCCAGCCTACCATGAGTTTTTGAAATATATAATGTATTAGAATAGAGTTGTTCTTGTCCGCTTTCTATCTATGGCTGCTTTTGTGGTAAAATGGTAGAGTTGAGTAATTGCCAAAGAAACCAAATGAGCTACAAAGCCTAAAATGCTTATTCTTTGACCCTTCATGGGAAGTTTGCCAACTCCTGCTCTTTTTTGATGGTTAATATTGTCTGTCCTGGCCATATATTATGTTTCTGGGAAACTTGATTTGACCTATTATATCTCAATCTATTATAAATCTGATTTGGCTTAATAAATAATCTCAGGATTGCTGTATAGTCTAAGCCATTGTGCAGTGTGAATCCTTCCTTTCAGGCTCATATTAGAGTACATCATGCCTACACAATTCCACGCCATTGCACTGAGAACTTAGTCTGTGCAGGGCAAGTTGACACAGAGACAAATAAGGCATAGTTGTTCCCTGAAATTTTTTAGTCTACTGAAACACCTCGACCCACACAGTGTAGGGTCTGAAGCCAGGGAGTGTGGTGGGAAATGAAGAAAAATGGAAAATAATAGGAAAGGACAAATACCAAAATTAAGCTTCATAGCTGGTGGAAAGAGGTGAGACCATAGCCTGATGAGCTAATGGCTGCCTGGTGTCCAGGGCACCCTTTATTTATGGTGTAGGAAGGCGGGGCAACTAGTACCACATGGCCCACATGGCCTAGGCTGAATGTGATTGTCTGGTGATGCGGCATGTGCAGAAAGGGAACAAGGATACATAGTGTAACTGTCTCTTGGGGCTGTGCCATCCAGGGGCTATAATATTAGTCTGTTTGACTAGTCTATGGAGCAGAAACTCACTAGAAATTAGGCGAAGGACAATCTTCAGGCCCAGCATGGAATTGAAACATGTATAGGAGTAAGTAATTTATGTGGAAGATGAATGCAATGATGGGAAATGATATGCCATGATAATTTATCACAATTGCACATGATCTGTTCATCATCTCAGTCTTATGGCATCCTGATGAAAAAGGGATTGTAATCTCTGTCCTGTGAACTAGGAATTAAAGCTCAGAGAGGTTGAAATTTATGCAGGATCACACAGCCATTAGCAGAAGAGCCCAAGGTGAGGACTTCTGATCAGTCCTAGATGCTCTGCACAATAATAAACGCTATGCTCAAATCCAATGCTATGAGGAAACCTGCTGGTAAGAATACAAACCTCACATGGTTATTATGGTGACCAAGTCAGATACTTATATGGAGATAAGTTTAATCCACTTCAAACAGTAAATGAATGTTAGTGTGACCCAAGTTATCCTAATCCCTATCAATCAGTCTGGGCACATAAATAAATGAAATCAATAGTGGTAATTCAGAGTCCACAGGCCTTCATCACAGGTTGCTTACACAGAATGTTGGCCAACTACAGTGTCTTTTAAACACTTCTACAAATCCCTCATGATCCTGCAAATTCATATGAGCTCTGTCTGTCCATTTTTTTTTTTAACAGACAATCGCATTTATTTTTGCCACATTTCTTCTTTCTTTATACAGTCCAGACACCATCTTGACTGGGACCAGGATGAGAGACAGAATATGCAATATTCTCTCCCTTTTTCTTCTCAGGAACCCATACAGTAACCTCTTCCCATCATCCCCTTTTCTTCCTGCAAGTAACTGATGAAGTTTTGCTGATGGAGAGGTTTCACCAGTGGTAGACAGGGTCAGAGAAGTCTACGTTTTCTGTAGGCTCAAGAGACATTTGTTACACTGGCTTTTTTTTTTTTTCTTTTTATTGAGTTTATTGGTACAACCTATGTATACAGTACAGTTACGTTCATTATTAGGATCCTGTACCTTTACATGATAGGTCTTGATTCTCATTTTTTCTCCTTGTCCCTGCTCTCCCTTCACCCTCGCTCCCGTCCCCATTTACAAATACTTTATTTCCATTTTTTCAATTTCTCATATTTTTTCCTCTCCCTTATTACCTTTCCCCCACCCTTCCCACTTTCCCTACACCTTTAGCCCTTTACTTCCTATTTCACATTATTAATTATCTCATTAGGATCCTATGTACTATTATAGTTTTTCACACTAGAGAAACTATTTGGTATTTCAGTTAAAGAAATCTCTGTATGAACATTAAAAATAGAGAATCCTAAAAT